CCCATTTCAGCCACTTGTATCCGCGATCTTGTTCTTTCGGTCATTACCCACAGTTCATGGCCATAGGTGAGAGTCGGCACGCGGATCGACTCTGTGAGTTTACAGAGCAGATGTAAACTCACAAATTTCGAATCTCAGGTAAATTCTGAAGAATTCTCCAGCTGATCAGCAGTTGAGTATTCACCTCGATCAAGTGTTGTAAAAGTTGTTAAATTCTTCTTCTTCTTATTATTATTATTATTATTATTATAAATGCCTGAAGCTGAGTATAGCACAGAGAGTAATAGGTATAACATCCAACCATCTTTATCCACAAAACCAGTCATTTGGAGCTCCCTGCTTAGTGTCAGATTTAAAATTGATCTGTTATTTTAACTTCAGATGTCAGGGAGCAGCACAGATTTGGAGTTATCGCCATAGACTCTAGATAACCCCTGGGGGTACGTGAAGGCACTCCAGGGGGTACGTGAGATTTTAAAATATTCTTAAAAAGTAGCATCCATGCAAAAATCAAAAAATCAAAAAAATATATTTGAGAAATATTTCAGGAAAATATAAGTATAAGTTCATAAAATGAATTTCATATTCAGTAGGCTATTCAATTTCATTATCCTAAAAACCCAGAGTCTCCCCCATACCAGGATGGTTTGACCCAACCTGTCATATGCCACCTGGCATCACCTGTCAATCACTTGAAAACTCGAACAATGGAGTCGTGGTTGGAGCGGAGCAGCAATTCTTTTGAAAACACGGAGGGACAAGTGTCAAAGAAGGTCAAACCAGAGCCGGCAAAATTCCGGCTGTATCTTGAGGATTATTTTTTAATTGGATTTACGTCCACAAGTTGCAACCCGCCCAAGGCACTGTGTTTTTTCTGTGGGGAAAAATTAGCTAACAGTAGCATGAAGCCAGCACATCTGCAGCGTCATCTTAAGACAAAACATGGATGTCACGTTGGTAAGCCACCTGACTTTTTTAAGAGGAAACTGTCTGAATTCAGATCACCTCAAGACACGATGCGGAGGGCGTCCCCAACATCAGCCAAAGCCCTGGAGGCCTCTTATGCAGTGTCTTTGCTCATAGTTCTAACATGTTTTGAGAATTTATCTTTTCTCTCTCTCTTTTTCCCTTTTCTTTAGAAGACTTGTGGTGTAACTCAGACCATGTAGTTAAAGAGTCGCCTTGCTAAAGTTTTTGTTTTTTGTAAAAAGGGTAGGCAAAATAAGCATGAGCTTCAGTCTACACCTTTTCGATTAGCTTTATGATGCTTTTGAAATTTACTATGTATCTGTTGTGGGTGGATTTTAAATGCTAATCGAATAAAATAATTGAATTGAATTGAATTGAATAGTTAAGGCCAAGAAGCCATTCACTATCGCTGAAGACCTGCTCCTTCCAGCAGCTGTAGTGCTGGCCGAGACTATGCTGGACAAAAACGCAGCGGAGAAATTAAAGACTGTGCATTTGTCAAATGACTTTATTTGCCGCAGAATAGATAGAATGGGAACAGACATTGTCGAGTAAGTTGTGGGAAAACTTAGCGACTCTTTTTCACTCCAGCTGGATGAATCCACAGATGTCAGTGGAAATGCACAACTTGTTGCTTTTGTGAGGTACATTGATACTGATGACATTTATGAGCACATACTATTCTGCAGAAGTTTGGAGGGGAAAACAACAGGAGAGGACATATTTGATGTTGTCAATGCCGCGTTCTATGAAAACGGTTTGAGCTGGAAATCCTGCAGCAGCATCTGTACAGACGCAGCAGCATCAATGACGGGCAGCGTGAAAGGACTTATTGCGCGCATTAAAAAAGAAAACCCCAATGTGATGTGGACTCACTGTCATACACAGGGAGGCATTGGCGTCCAAGAAAATTAGCCCTGTGTTACATGACATTTTGAACAGCAGCATTAAAGTAATCAACTTCATTAAGTCAAGGCCACTTAATGCACGCCTGTTTCGCCGCCTCTGCGAAAATATGGGAACTGAACACACACAACTGCTGCTGCACACAGAAGTGTGCTGGCTTTCGTGAGGGAGCATACTCAACCCGGCTGTTGGAATTAAGATCTGAAGTACACGCCTTTCTGATTGAGCACAGATCCCCCATGCCACCTTGTTCCAGGACAGACTGGCTTGCAAAGCTGTGCTATCTGGCAGATATATTCAGCAAACTGAACGAACTGACTATGTCTCTGCAGGGCAAGGACACCAGCATTTTAAACATGTATAAGTGTCAGCAGATCGTGGCCTTCAGATGAAGTTTGCCATGTTCACACTTACACATTTTTGGTTGTGTGTCAAGCAGGAGCAAGCAGGACCCTGACCTCCACATATTTATGTGAGGCCTCCTTCTCTGCAATGACTGTGATCAAAACAAACCACAGAAACACACTGTGCCTGGCGAAGAGCTTGATCACAGCAGTTGCCTCCCTGCCACCAAGAATGAAAAAGATCCTCAGTGAAGCACAAGCCCAAGTGTCTCACTAAAATGTCTCACAAAGTGTAAAAAAACTCAGTTCAGTGCAACAATGCAATATTAAGTGGTGACAGTTTGTAATGTTAAGATGTCAGTCTTCTTTTTGATTCTTAGAAAAATAATTTAAGATGATAAATATTTGTATTTTTTATTTTTAGCAATTTCTGCTTTTATTTAAAATTAAATTAATGATTTATTTTTGAGAACAGATCTTTACTATGATCCCAAAAGAGGACACTTTATGTTAATAATTATTTTTATGTGCACAAATCTTTATTGATAATTAAGTTAATTATTTCTTTCTTTTTTTTTAGTTATATCTTTTTATTTCCAAATAGTTCAAGAGAGACCACTACAAATGAGCAGTGTTTTGCACATTTATTGAGTTTTAAATGGTTCATTTTATAGTTTTAAATGGTTATATGGTCACTGTTTTTACTATGGAACTTATCAGTTCCAAAGTTTAATAAATCAGACACTGATGGTACAGCACTCTGTTTTAAATATATATATATTTTTTTTTTTAACCAAAAATGCTTTGTGCTGGTTAGGGGGTACTTGGCTGAAAAAGATATTTCACAGGGGGTACATCACTGAAAAAAGGTTGAGAACCACTGGTATATACAATCTATGGTTATCACTCTTAGGGTACCATACTGACCTCCAGGAAGTCAGTGCTCTCAGCCAACATACAGCCTGAATGTAGAAAAACAAAAAGTGGTTACGAAACTTCTGTATTCTGCCTTTGCTTTGGAGAAGTGAGCACAGAAGGAGGAATTATCTTTTTCAAGCTAGCAGTCCCACCAGTGTAGGCTTACTGTCTTTAGCAGTTTTATGGACGAATTAGAGCAGTACCATTCTAAGGCTGAGATATCCATTCATCTCTATTACCTTTTTCCGTTAAAATTATAGATCAGGATGTGAGGGATCTACAGCTTTAAAAATCAGATGACACTGACTTAAACTGGATCAGATGGTCTTTTAGTTGTGGCTCCAAACTTCTTGTAAATTAGTGCCAGTGTGTGCCTGTCCTCAGCCAATAGGTTCAACTCTGTACAGATCTACGTCAGAGGGCTTCCCTTTAAGTCTATCTGGGACCAACACATGGTCAGTGTAAACATTTGAGGACATCCCACACTCTTCAGCTGTCTCATGTATAGGTCCCTGTGCCTGAAGTCCCCCAGAAACACACACCACACACATATGCACACACAATCATGTAGGCTACCGCTACAGAAAAAACACACTGGGAGCTCAAGCCCTGTACTTCACTTTGACTTATAGTCTGATTGGCACCTCATCTTCTTTGTGCAGTAGAGAAATACAATGAATTGTGCATCATTTGTAGAAGAAACATGACCCCCTTCTCTTTCCTGTTTTCTTTATGAAATGAAATAAAAAAATTAAAAAAAAAACATTATCTCCAAATGGCTGGTACAAAGTGTTACTGACTTTTCTGTAACAAATACACTTCAGTGTAAAATAAAACACCAAAGTTTTATAGCAAATCTAATTTGATCCTCTAGTATCATGGTGTTTACTCTGTTAATTGCTGTAATCTATCCTTTGGCTTATCTGACAGCCGGCCTGTGAAGTGGCACAAGAGAGATCAGAAAAAGGCATTTTCACGATGAGGTCTTAAACATGAGTAATGGCCCCTAAATGAGAGGATCATCAGCCCTCAATCCATGAAGTGATTAACACCAGGCAGAAACCGGGCTGTTGATCAGCGTGATGATCTTGGGAATTTGATCCCTTTTGTTAAGGCTGATTGAATAGAGATCATCCCGGATTCATCTTAACGGAGGAATAAACATGTCATACTGTGAGTCACTCTCCAAACACAGTAGAGGAGGGGCTGAGGGGGGACACTGTGACCGGCTTGCGTTTTGTTGAAATGTGCGCATTAACAAGCAGCTTTTGAATACGCGCTTCATTTGCGTCACGACTCAGCGCTTCGTTTACTCTCTTGCAACTGTCCTCATGCTGATAACAAACAAGTGGGCCGAGAAACACACGATGTGGAGCCCCTGCAACTAAACATCATAACCGGGTAACTTTGCTCTGAACTGCTGCCTAAATAAGAGAGAATAAGAACTCTAAAGCGCAGCCTTAAAAACACACATTGCTGATCGACAACCAGCACCAATACCTCATATCTGTATTTCAAGCATTTGTGAGTGCCACACACTTGTGTTGGCGCGTTGATTCGATGTAATTCTTAACACTGAATAAATAATATCACTCCTCACTGTTATTTCTCTGGAGAACTGCAGTTTCACTTAAACCCCTCGAAAGATGTCCATGTTTCTGCATGAGCAATTTGGCAGTCCAATTCACTGTTATCGTTATTAAAATGAAAGGAAATGATTCATTTGTTTGTTATTATCTCCATAAGTGACTCTCGGGTCATTTTCACCTTTTCTTTGTGTTTCTTTCCACCACCATCAATCATGGCTCAATCATCTCCTGGTGTCAGCTGAATACAGGGACAACCTGTCTTCAAAGGCAGCGGGCTGTCCTTAACACCCCCTGTCCCACAGGTGTAAAGCTCAGTCCACTCACCACCATGACAGCAGGAGCAGGGGCTCTGCACCTCTGGGTCGTCCTCGCGCTCCAGCTGGGGAGCGTAAGCCCGCTCGTGATCCGGCGGGACAGGGGGACGTCGGGGCAGCAGGACAGTTTGGGTGAGAAGACTGTGGACGCGTCGATCTACTTTAAGGATTTACCTCGAGGTCCGGCGGTGGCTCCTCACAAGAAAGCGCCTCAGTTTATGTTGGATCTCTTCAACGCCGTTTCGGTCTCTGATGGAACCCCGAAGAGCCAGAAGGAGATACTGAGAGGAAACATAGTGAGGAGTTTCGAGGATAAAGGTGCGTAATGGTAAACAAACGGATATTTACGCACGGACTGCGATTCTCTCTCTTAAAGACTTTGTTATCTTACCTATATTTACTAAAGTCAAATGTATCTTATAAATATCAACACGATTTAATCCAGAATTTGGCTACATTATAGCAAAATCTTTAGGAACAGACTACAGAGTTGTTGCTGAGAACTTACAGCTGTTCACGCCTACGCGCAGCCTGATATTGTCTTGAACAGATCAATAAATGATGTCAGTGTTTTTCAAATATCTTTTTGTGGTATTTTGCCAGCAGGTCACCCAGGAGAAAGATTTCACTTCTTCAATCTGTCCTCTTTCGGTCGTGATGAGATGATGATCAAAGCAGAGTTTCGTTGGTTCCGAAAGAAACAGAAGTTTTACCTCGGAAAGTCAAATAGGGCACATTTCTACAAGGTGACACGCCTTTTGTGATAATTTTTTAACATGCCGTGATGCAGATGTCATAGAATTTATTATAGCCTTTGCAAAGTGCTTCCTAGATATCTGACAAATCTTTATAATTTGCTGTATTCTGGTGTATAAATTACCACATTGCCACAATCATCTTAGATTTCCAAAATTGAATCTACTTTAAGCCTTTGACTGAAGATGACCGATTGTTCCTCTGACTGATCAGGTGGATCTGTATGAGGTACTGGACAGTAGAGTGAAGCCATGGAGAGGGAACCTCATCACCTCTAGACTGGTGCCTCTGTACACTCAGGGATGGGAGGTTTTCAATGTCACTCAGACGGTAACAGCCCCTCTTAACTCTGTTTTACCAAGTGTATTTTTTTTCTTCAAAAAACTTTTTTCAGAACTTTTTTTTTGATTCAGTGCATCTTATCTGTTTTTAAGGTGTCAAAATGGATCAGCAACAGCCAGGAGAATAATGGCATCCTGGTGGTGACTACACTGCCCTCTGGTCACTGGATTGAGTCGGTGATGTCCTCTAAACAGGATGGAGAGCTGACAGACACCGGTGCCTACCTGGTCATATTCTCAGATGATGGTGGGACAGGAGCATCAAACCAGTCATACCTGGGTAAAGTGATCAAAATGTTGGTTATTAATCTCAAGACAGCAACAAGAGGGCAATTTTTTGTACTTAAAGAATCACATTTCTGCAGCATCAAAAGTATCATCACCTCATCAAAAATGTGATTAAAACTATTTCTTTTAGTCACAGAATGTTTTGCCTGGTATTACAACAACAGAATTTGTCATGTTATTATTAACTCTTCTTTTTAAACACACAAGACTTACATATCCACACTCAGTCCCTGTTGGAAAAAGAGCAAAAACTCAATCAAAAGCTCACACTTTATTCAAATACAGACTTTAATTGATCTCATCATTAATGACCTTCTTTATTTTTTCCACAGGACAAACCAAAGCTGCAGTAGCTCCTGAGCTTCATGACCGACCCAACAGGAGACGACGTGCATCTCCGGGTGTCTTGACACATAGCCGAACTCAGTCCTGCAAGCGAGTCCCTCTATTTGTTGACTTCGAGGAGATTGGCTGGTCAGGCTGGATCATCTCTCCCCGGGGATACAATGCCTACCACTGCAAGGGCTCCTGTCCGTTCCCTTTGGGGGGAAACCTCAGAGCAACCAACCATGCCACTGTGCGCTCCATCATGCATGCACTCAAGCTGTCCCCTGATGAGGTGGGGGCGCCGTGCTGTGTCCCTGACAAACTGCAATCCATCAGTTTATTATATTTTGATGATGAGGAGAATGTGGTTCTGAAGCAGTATGATGACATGGTGGCGCTGAGCTGTGGCTGTCACTGACTGGCACTGACTCTCTAATACTGGGACTTTAAAGGATGGGCTGCAAGAACTGACTGATACACTGTATTTTCATGCTTATGTTTAAATATTGTACTATTTTGTGAAATAAAACTGATATTCTTTAAAACTTAATAGTCTTCCTTGGTCTGGTTCAGGGATTAACAAACATTTCATCAAAAATTGCTGATTGGTCAAAATGTAGGATAGGCTACACTTTATGACTTGAGAACCAGATTGAACTCAGGCAAGGAATGAGGGTGTAAATGACCTTAATACTGTACTGTTTTTAATTTTATTTTTCAAGTATCTTCTTAAACCAATGTTTATTTTCTGTTAGAGAGACAGTCTATCAATCAACCAGTGACACTATAAGTGTGTGAGGAAGTGCAGCACAGGTCAAGTGGTCAGTTTTTTGCAAAGAGAGCAACCAAAAATATAAATGTCACAGAGGCTGCAGCCTGTAGCACCCTCTGCTGGAGTTATTTAGTAAGGAAACTGGAGTGCAGTTACAGGGTGATTAACTCTCTGCAGATCATCCAACTGGAAAAGTACAGCACTAAAATGGCCTCTGCCTCTGTGAGGGCTGATGAGAAAGTTACTTACAAGGTGTGTAAGTAACTCTACAACCTGACTGTGGGTTAGGGTTAGAAATTTGCAAACTTCTGTTTTAAATGCATGGGGAACACTGGAAATGATGGAGCTGGTCAACTGCAGAGTAATCCTTCCAGTATCTTCAACTGCATATTTGATTTTCCTTAGTTCAAACTGTTAAATAGTTCATATAATTATATAGCTCAAATTTGATATATTTTTATGGTTTAAAAAAGATGTTGTTTCTTAGTTTGCATATGTTTGAATTATGTCTGGTAACTGATCATGATATTGATCATGCCTGTATTTAATTCACGTCCTTTTTGTTATTCCTTTGTCATTCCTTCTAGAGAAACCAGTTGAATATATTTTAAAATAAAACTGTGGACTGTAACTCCCCTTTGACGTGCTTATTTGTCCTTACAGACAAAATATTGAGTTGAAAATCCACCTTTGATGGTAGAGGCTTAGAGAGTTAGGACTTTTATTGAGTTCCAGCTCCAGTTACAACTATGGTAATAAACATAAACACAACAGAGAAAACTTGTGATATAACAAGTCAAAAAAATTAAAAGAGACAGACTTCCCTCTGTTCAATACCTTTAAAGAAGGAAACGGATGTGTTTGTTGTGATGTATAACAGAAATATTTAGATCAAGCATTTTGTCTCTAATGTCTTACACAAAGTCGAGTTGGTGTGTGAATAAAAGCTTCATTATATATATATATATATATATATATATATATGTTTTTATATATAAGTTTTCTCTGTTGTGTTTATCACCATAGTTGTAACTCTGGAACTCTATATATATATATATATATATATATATATATATATATATATATATATGTAAAATACTTGTAAGTTCCTGACTGGCATACATATATTCAAAGAGTGAAACAAAATACAAAAGAACTTAAGGGATGGTAGGAAGCTAAACAGTGAAAAAACTTTTTTGAAGGTCATGTTCTCACAGACTGGCTGTTCTGTGAAGATAAAGACCAGCGCAGCAGGAGTCTGTAAAACAGTTTGTTTTTTATTGGAATGGATCACAGACACAAACAGCCCTGCAAGAGTCTAGTTACAAAATATTCCAATGCAGCCAAACCAGATCCTCTGTCATGTCTCCTACACATTAAAAAAAAATGCAAAAATGCAAGTAAAAGCTTTTCACCGTAGAAATTCATTCATGTTGTGTTAAACACATATAAACAGGTGTTTACAGTTTTGATTTTAGGATGCAAATTCATTTTAAAATGTAGTGATTAAGCTCTTGTTGGTTCACACGATAACAAAAATCAAAGACAAATTTCTGATTTGATTCTTTGTGCTTCAAGTACTCAGTTTTCAACCAACTGCAAACTCTCCAATCCAAAGAAATCCTGGGCAGAGAACTTTCAGGTGATGTACCATAAAGCCATTACCCAAAAACTATTGAGGACACCAATAAAATGGTATTAATATTTAACTATCAGCATTTACAATACCTATAGCACATTTACATTCAAGCTTGCCATCTCTGTTCACTCTTAAATACATTATGTACATGGATTGTCCATGTCTGATCTCTTGAGCATTGCACTTCATCTTACACAAATCTGTAAGGGACAATTAAAAAACGGCATTTAACAACTATCGATTATTCAGCAATCAATAACCTCCTACCAGATGCACCAAAGTCAAACTCATTCCTCAAAACTCACCCAGGACTCACACAATCAACAAAACTTTCCTGACTAGTTGAAGTTTGGACAAATGAACCAGGAAAAGGTGCAAACCCCTACAGAAAAGTAGTTCCTCATATTACAGTCAAACTCTTTAAAAACATCTGAGAAAGAAGGTATGTTGAGTTTGGATGTACCTTGCATTATTGGTCAGTTTTGTTGCTTGTGATGGGTTTTTTTTTTCTCATCCTCCATGGTACAGGCCAAACATTATGTTAAAAAATCTCCATCATAGCTGCTATAGCAAAAAAGAGCAGGCATTATTCAGAGAAATTAAGGCCTCTTTCATCTTTTCAATAACAGGACGTAATGAGTATATAAAAGTTTTACCCTCTGAAATCTTTGTTGCAAAAGGAAAAAAAAAATCCCTGCTGAGAAAGTTTGAACACAAACACAGAAACTGAAAAACTTGACCTCAAAAGCATCCGTTCAATCCAAGTCAAATCTGGTTTTGATGATAAAAATGTGTGCTCTTTTGTTTTGTCCTATCAGCTGGGACAGTCCAGCTCTTCAGTGCCTATAAACTCCCCTAACATGTGCTCGTGTTGACCGTAGACAGGCTCTAAATACTGGTGTCTGTCAGTGCAGTGCATCTGCCTCGACCTTTCCAAGTGTCTCTGATCAAACTCCTCTGCTGCCATGTGATGGGCTTGGATTGAAGCTTTTTGAGCCATGGGTGACAAAGGCACGGGGACAAATCCATGATAAACAACCAGCGGTGGGGTCAGCACCTCTAAAGGAGAGGGCTGAGGAACAGCAGCCTCGGGTGGCTGGACTGGCAGCTGCACATAACTTCCTGTTTCAGGGTCAAAGAAAGTTTTAGTCTTGACTTGTACAGGCATGTCAACAAAGAAGTACTGTCCAGAATCTGGATCCTGGAGGAGCTTGCGTTGGGTCATGGGGAAGGACTGTGTCACAATGGCATGCTCAATGCTCGACTGGCGTGAAAGCTGGCTGCTGTGGCTGGTGTGGCTGGACTGACGGGACAGGGTTGAAGGATGAGGGACATCGGCGCTGTAAGCATCAATACTGTGACTCCTTCTCAGAGGGTTGTCTCTGCCTGTCTTGTCTCTGGCCCGGCCTCTCTGCTGAAGCTCATCCATGATGGATTTCTCAATACGCTGGGTCCTCAGATCAGGCCTCTCATGGATGGTCGTGTCAGCACTCAGCCTTCGTTCCAGCTTATCTCCTATGTACCTGTCACTGCTCTGAGATCTCTGGAAAGGCCTCACAGGTGTGGGTCTATCACCAACGTGAGCTTTGTACACAGGTACATTACTGATGACTCTGTCACTACTGTAGTGTCTCTGCTGGGGTTTCTCTCGGATATGTCGGCTGTTGCTGCGGCCCTGCCTCTGTGTTGCAGCTCTAGGCAGGGCTTCAATCATGTCCTGGCTCTGTCCCTGAGTCTCCTGGATCATGTCTTTTTTGTCAAGCTGCTGGTTTTCACTGCTGTAGCCTCTTCTTACATCAGAGGGCTGCTCACCACCATCATTGCTGTCTATGCTGTTGTGTGTTTCACTCTGGTTATGACCAACGTATGTCTTGTCTCTGTGTTTTCTCTCACTGCTTTTGCTGTTTCTGCTGTTTTTGTGCTCAGATTTGTCACTCTTGTGCCGCTCTGGTCTATGTTTGCTGCTGGAGGACTTGTGGGAAGACTTCTGAGCCTCCTCCTTTTTCATCCTTCTAGTTGCAAGCTTCATGGCTCTGAGAACAGCCTTCTCAGATTTGGGTAAGACAGCTGGTGGTTTTGGTAGCCCTGTTTGGCTTTCATTACCACTGCAAGTGGACCCAGATCGTTCACTGGGGACCTTTAACACCTCATGCTCCACCAGCAGCTCATCATTCACCCCCATCTCATCGGCTGTGTCTATTGTGCTGGTTGTAATGCTTTCCACACCCTCTGAGGATGGACTTACTCCAGAGAACCTGTCGTCCTCCTGTGGTACAGTAAGAAACCCTGCGTCTTGTGGTTTCTTTGGGTTTTCTGTTTGCAGATTTGAAGGCAACAGCAGTGGGTGAGGGGAGGTTGTAATTATTTTAGCTTTGAAAGTTTCATCTTGTCCTGGCATGATTTCTTTGTTGGCTGGTTCATCAGTTAGAAGGAGCTTTGGATTCTCCTTTACTGGGTGTAACTCCTCCTCTACCTTCACTGAAACACTCTGACTCCCTCTTCGTGGCCAGGGTTGAACACTCTTCTTCACCTTATTACTAAAAGTGTTGTCTTTGACCTTGAATAAGGCAGGGATCCCTAAAGTTGGTGAGAAAGTGTTGGAGGGTGACATTGGTGTCTGGTTTTGTTCATCTTGAGCTGAGCAGTGATCTGTTGAGGTATCATCTCCCTCTTTGCTGAACTTATTTGGTACCTGTGCCTCTTCTTCAGGAGACATTATTGGTTGCTTCACACGCTCCAACTCGCTGTCATGATCACTCAAAGAGTAGTACTCAGCTTCAATCTTGTCAGAATCCTGTTTTTTGTTTTGTAAAATATTCAGCATCAACTCATCCACCTCTTCAACCTCTCCAATCAAGTTCTCAAGGGAGTGGTACACATTGGACTCAGTCTCAAAATTTCTGTGTAGAGCGCTCTCAACAGAGAAGTATGAAGATTTGGAAGATAAGCTGGCATGATCAGGTGGACTTTGATTGATGCTCATACCATTGACCAGAAGCAGGGGGGATATTATTTTGCCAGGGGTTTCATTCAGGACCTCTGACTCAGCATTGAACTCCTCAGTTCTTTGTGTTTTGTCAATTTCTCCTTCCATTAAATGGATGCCTGATACGTTGCCCGATACGTTGACATTGTCTGGTTTTAAAGGAGCTTTACGCTTTATCTTGTATAATTCCTTTGTCCTGTCACTGCTGCTCTCAGCTGTGGATTCCTTTGTTGAGCTCCAGTCAGTTAACAAGTCCCTTTCCTTTTCTTCATTCCCTGATAAACCTAGTGTGTATCCAGTCTGTTGATTCTTTGCAGGAATGGCTGTATCACATACTGCATCAATGATCAAATGAGAAGATGCATTTTGCAGCACATGGCTTGGTTTTTGATCTGAGTAGGTTTCACTCTGACAGGGCACTGCTTCTGTCATGAATGGGTCACTAGCTATATTTTGTTTGCCTGAGCCTAGGCTCATTTCTTTTAAGTGTACAACATCATTTTCATATTTCCCTTCAGCTTTAAATATATCCTTTTCACCCAAATCAGTCTGATTATTTGTTTCCTCAGTGAGACTTCCATCTCCTCTATTCTCTCCCTTCTTGTTTCGAGGAGGGACAGGAGGAGCATCACTTCTGCCTCCATTTTGGTTCATCATATTTTCTATGCCGTCCTCAGACAGACGTCTGTCTAAATCTCTCAAATGCCCCTCTTCTGATTCATAGCTTGTGCCAACATGATGGGCAGAATTTTTGAGGGGAGATTTTTTAAGAGCTGTTTTATAAGTCTCTGCACTCCTGGGCTCAGTTTGTGAAAGGATTTGTCTGATGTGACTGTTATCTCTAAGATCACTGAGCCTTTCCTTTAAATCTGTCTTTGGAGAATTACTGAAGCCAGTCTGTTTTTCTGCAGCCTCCATGGCAACATCTTTCATAGCTTTTTTACCTTGCTGTACCTTTTTGACATAACTTTCATCATCTGCGCTCTCATTCAGGACTGGATTTGCGTCCTGCTCTGTGACGTTATTTCTTTTCTGTCTCTCTGAGATGATCTCTTCAAGTGCCACCTTGGCTTTGTCATAGTTGTCATTTATGAGTGCTTTATTCACAATGACATTGCTGTCTATCTTGGTGAAAGCCTCAGGTCTGCTTTGCTCCACTTCTTTCTTTGTAAAGAGTTCCCTCTTCGCTGATGTGTTCCCCCTCATAGATAGCATACCCTTCTTAATGTTCCTAAGTTCCCTTGAGATCAAATCATTCTTAGCTCTAGCTTCCTCCTCAATGTTCGTAACATCTAGTTTATTCTTAGAGTTATCATGAATACGATCGCTGAGTCGAGCCCTCTCTAGCTCTTTCAAAGCATGTAAATCATTGATAATATGCTCACTATCTCTCATTTCTTCCAGCGGTATCACCTCCTCATCAGCTTCTAATCTTAGTTTGACTTTCAGATCACCATCCTCTAACTCTTCTTGTTCTTCGTCCATCTCTGCATGTCTTTGATATTTGATATAATTGTTCTGCCTGGCTGAGAAGATATGCTTAAGTCTGGCTTGTTTCTGAGCAGATTCATGTTCTTTCATCTCTAGTTCTACATTTGTATTTCCTGAGTCACCATTAGTGAGGTTGTCGACATTATTGGTTTGCTGTTTGTCTAAAGACAGCTGGATATCAGATTTAGTAAAGTTTCTTTTTGGGACTGGTGGGGCTTCTTTCTTGATATTTGCTTTTTGGCAAACCATTGCTTCATTTCTACTCTGAGATGAAGTGTTGTCATTCTCTGATAATAAACTTTTACCGTTACACATCTTTTTTGAAATGTCAACCCTCTTGTCTATCTCTCTCTCCTTCAGTTCCTCTTTCTGTAAAATGGTTTTATTGATGTTATCTGACTGAGCTGCCATTCGGGCTTTGTTTTTGGCTGCACTAATTGCTTCCCTTGCTGCTCTGATCACTTCCATTGTGTTTAAGTGTTGGAGATTCGAATCCCTTTCTTTGGAAATGACAGGCTGCAGGCCCAGTTCTGTGTCTTTGAGGTCTTTTGTGGGTTGTTTTGCTTTACATGGCACATTTGATAAAATTTTACAAACTGACACATTTGATGACAGGCCCTCTTTCTCAGGTACACAGGGTGAAATCAGGGGTGAACAATCTTTGTTGACGTTTAAAGTATTTGGGGACAGACCAAATGTGTTTGCTGGCCATGCTTTTGGGGAAGGATCTTTGTTACATGCTGGTGGTGAAAGTTCATTTGGTTGGTCTGTGTGTGTAGAAGCATCGCTGTTTGGAGGGACTTGGAGATACTTCATATCACTGTCAGCAAGGCTGGCTTTCTTGTACAGATTCAGTGAAGGGTAGTTTAGCTTTTTAGCCCTGGGACTCTTGGTCTTTTTGGAGTGTATAAGGGGAGATATTGGATTGTCTTCACTGAGACTGCTGTGAGCCGCTGCCTCCTTTTTGCTCTGTAATAGATGAGATAATAAATAATCATCAGAAAGAGGTGTCTCAGAATCAGGCTTATTGGGGTCAATGGTTGGGATGCTGTTTGATTCCAAAACGGGGCTGCACACCGTCGCCTCTTCTTTTATGATGGCAGGAGTGCTCAAACCGGATGCATTGCCCTCAGAGCCAGCCTGTGAACATTTTAAGTTATCTGACTGTGGAGATTGAGAACCACCCTCAGGCACTTCCAGTGTTTTAAACTTAGGTGGGCTGTATCGGCTTTTTACCCTTTTCCTGTTGTCTTTGAGATTAAAGAGGATGCTTGAGGCCAGAGATTTGTAGCTTTCCCGCTTGACTGGGGGTTCAGGGGTCAGTTTGGCCTCAGAGTGTGGTCGTAGAGGCAAGTCGAGAGCAGAGGGTGACAGAACAGCTTGGAGGATCTCTGATGTCTCTGTGGGTTGTCTGGAGGGGATGAGGGGGGTCATCAGCTGACAAATGCTAAATGGAGTTGATGCCAAAGAGCTGACCTCCTCCACTGCTTTGACTTCCACAGAGCGAGTTTCCTTTTTGACCAGAAACATACTTTCATCTGCTGTTTTTGAAATACTTTCCTGAGCTGGTATCCCAGACTGATTCAGTGGGATCACACTTTTAGCCCTGGAATTGTTGCGCCTCCAGGGGGCAGAACTTCCCTCCCCTACATCTGATGAACACCTCTTCTCAGCCTGAGCAGCTGAAGGCTTTGGCAGGACCTTCGGCGGAGGAGGGGGGTGGGTGGGTTTAGGAGCAATCGAAGGAGGGGGCTGCAGTGCTTTCTGGCTTTTTGGTGGCACCTCCTCTGTGTGCTGAGTCTCTTGCCTGTGGGCCTCTGTCAGCTCCTTGTAAAAAGGCAGGTCGTACCATTTAGGGATACAATCTGTGGGGAGTACTGTATCCTCTTGGCCAAAGGGGAAGCGGTTAAAATCTCTCCATGCTTGAAAAGGGCTAAACTCACTGTGGAGGAAAAAGTTTTTGATATTAAGTTTTCGTAGTTTGACAGTAGATTTCCCATTTTTAATTTTCGTAGATTTTCCTGAAGGTGGGGCAAACTCTTTGCCTGTTTTGTTTGATGGGCCACTGCCAGAGTGATGCCGATGACATTTTTTGTAATGTCCATCCGTCAGATTTGTAGGGTAATCTGAGGAGAACTCAGACAGCTCCCTTTGGATGCTGCGAAGTGCCGACTTATCCCAAGATTCCCCCTTTAAGTCCGTCAGACATCCATTTTTGATGAGCATCCCTTCACAGCTTTCCTCTGTAGCACTGAATGCTTTGAGGAAAGACGACATATTGGACATACCCTTCTGCTGTTGTTTCCATGGCTGGTTGTAATTCTTTTCACTTTTGCTTTGTCCCTGTTTCTTAGATTCCTTGTGATGAGTCTTTTTAACCGGCTCCCCCACTAAAGGTTTGTGGCAGCTGAAAGGCGAGTATCCGTACAAAAACTCGTCGTTGTAAACTGCATCATCCCCGATGCAGAGACTTCTGAAGGCTCGATCAGTGAGGGTGCTGACCTCACGATCAGTATCGTCCATGAACAAGTCACTAAAGCCATTAGGGAAGCGATGGTGGAGCATACTCCCCCCTCTATGGCTCATGTGCCGCTTTTCCAGACAGCTCATGATGTCAACAGATTTCTGTCTGTCTGGTGCATCAACTATGTTGGGTCCTCCTCAGCTGCTCCAGCGTTATGGATTTCTGAATGTCTTCCAGCTCAGGTTGTTATCAGTAAGATGAAAAATGTGCAATTCCTATAAAAAAAAAAAAAAATACAGAGAAATTAGTGACAGTGTTTCAAAGTCAAGGTTTTACAATGCCAAAACAGTTGAAACACCAAGCAAAATGTTGGCCAAACACAGTTTTGATGGTTTGTAAAACATTTAAACCAATCTTTTTAGAAATCAGTACGAAGACAACATAAAATCATTTAACTGACAAGTTATGTTCCATGACAACCACAAGCTCATTTTAGAATGGATGCATTCAGCAACGTGTTCCAAAAATGTGTTACAAGAGCAACAGAAAAGTTGTGTAACTCTAGAAAAACAGCTGTAGGAACATTGCCAACTAATGGTGTGAATTTCCAACAGGTTAGTCACATGACTGGGTATTCAAAGAAAGTTCTGAGGGGCTGAAGAAGCTAGAAGAAGGTTCACCACTCTGTAAGAGACAGCATGAGCTTATAGTGTTCCCTTAAAAACCAGAAGAAAATGTGAGTATTTCAAAATCTACTGTACAAAATATAATTTTGATATAGAGGTAGGGTTTTATCATCTAGACTTAGTCTTTAGGTGGCACTGCATTTACACAAGCATGACTTTGTGGTTGAAATCACTGCATAAACTTCCAAAAACCATTGTATTTGAAAACACCATATCACTGCATCCACAAATTAGGTTCAAACTGAATTGTGCAAAGAAGAAACCAGATAGAAACAGGATCCAGAAAAAAAGAGACTTCTGGTAGAAGTAGAAAACTGCCCTTTTACATAATGAGTTAAAATGTGACATTCTCTTTGGAAAACATCCTCCACTATAAAGACTAGAAGGTCCACCTGGCTTGCTGTCAGCTCCCAGTCCAAATCCAGCAACCCTGATGGTATGTGGATCATCAGAGTCCATGTCATGGGTGTCTTCCACATTTGCGAAAGCTTCATTAATGCTGAACAATATCTACAGGTTTAGGAGCAACATCTGCTGCCATCCAGACAAAGAATTTTTTAGGGAAGACCTTCATATTTCAGCAAGACAATGACAAACCACATTCTGATAACAAGGAATACAACAGCATGGCTCTGTAGGAGAAGAGTCCTAAAACTGTCGTTCAGGGCTCCTAGTGTTAAAAAAAAGAAGAGGTACCCGCAATGGTTTGTGTCCCAACTTCACTGAAACATGTCTGCATCAAATTTAAAATGAGCACTTTTTTTGACATAACAAATAAAAAAATCCTTTTCAACCTTTTATACGTTGTCTTTTTGCTTTTTTCAATTACATATAGGGGTTAAGTGATTTGCAAATCATCAAACTGTGTTGTTGACATTTCACACAGCATCCCAACTCTCTAGAAATTGTGATGTTGTGAATCAAAATGTTATGGTAGAATAGAAATTCATCTAACTAAATTATAAGGAACTCTATAAAAGGTTTGAACTCTGCAGTTTATCTGATGACCTTTTTGTACATGACATGTGCCAGCTCTTGCCATGCTGTCACTATGCAGGCAGCAGACAAACACTCAGACCATGCGCTCATCTATTTTTAAGCACTAAATGGTTCTCTAAGCTGTGAGCTGTAAGTGCACTGTTGGTGGCAGAGAGAAAAGGTCCCCACCCGTTTCTGAGACTGTTAGGAAATGCAATCGTTTATATCATATACTCAAGGAAACAACTCTACACTAGTCCCTTTCTACTGCAAGCATATTGCCACACAGAATGCATGTGTTGGATTAACATATGGACATTCCTCTGCAAAGCTCTTGGACAGTATTCGTGCCAGCAGGTCACTGCAAAGCTCAGGAAATGCAAGTAAATAATCACATTGATTCCAGCAGCTGCTGCTCCACTGTAGCTTACTTTAGCTATCTGGGTGAGGTCTTAGAATAGCTCTTTAACCCATTTATGTGTCCTGACCTAGGAGTTTGCTCCTTCATTAACCATATGTAAATCCATGACTTAGGCAGATAGGGCTGACTGTCAGAAATGTATACAGAGGATGTCAATAATTCCAAATGGACATGGCTGCAACTTTAAATTATTACCTTGTTTAAGGCTACCCCGTATCAAAAGTTGCTTTATTCCTACATAAACAAAGAGGATTCTTAAAATAAGGATCGTTTTTTATAACAGTGTATTTTTCTTTCACAAGATATAAAGGTAGATTTGCTAGGACTGACTGGCTTTACTGTATATTGAGTCTGACTCAGAGAATGCTGAGGCTTTCCAGGAGACTTCGGTCGCCAAGAGTCCTCCAGTTCGCATAACCAGAGATCAGTTAGCAACCACGGTACTTTCCCAGCATCTGCTTGTGTATTTATACCCAAGCAAAGAGGCAGTCAGGTTAACTTTACAGTAAAAAGGCCACAACCTAAAAAAAAAAAAATAAATCCTCTTTGACCTTCTTTGTTTATCAGCATTAGAATAATCCTTGGATCTGAAACAGCAGACATGCTCATGTCCAGCTGTGAATTTTATTAGTGAAATTTCACCCACATCTGAAAGTTCATTTCTGCTCCCTCTGGTTCTCTGTGTTTCAGCAGCTGGTCAAACATTCACGTTATCACACAGCTCTCTCACCTTATTGGTGGGTCTCTCATGTTGACTATGACAGTCCAGTCTAGATGAAAGAATCAAACACAAATCCTCAATGTAGAATCCAAGAGTCTCGTCCAGGACCATCTGCTGGAGACAAACTGGCGTAAGTTTTTGTCCTCCACGCTGGTTCAAACTTATCTCCTGAGGCTAAAGAAACAAGGAAGACTTACCAAAGTGAGTCAAGCCCTCAGTACCATGTTCAAATCCACTGTTGTGCCCAGGGTCCTGGTAGCGAGCTGAGAAGATACCAAAATAGATGCAGAGGTCTGTGTGGCCAAACTGAGCAGCAATACAGGGTGCAGCTAGCTAGCTCCCTTTGGTATAGCCAGTGGGTGTCGAGTAGCAGGGCAAGACAGGCCAGCGGAATGAAATGTACACTGTCATTGGTTATTTTTGTATCCAAGCAGGGAGGGCTGATAGGCCTCCTCCTGAACCCGCACTTTACTGCTAGTTACCTTTTGAAAAGAAACAGACCCTCTATGTATTGAAGAAGAGGTCATAGTTGATTCAGTGTTTGTGGAGACAACACAGAAGCAGGCTGGACCTTAACTAGTACAACAACGGTTAACGCTGAGCATGTGGCTCACTTAAACTCTGTCACCAAGGGAACAGGCTCTTTGATAAAGTCTGTTGCATCACACATCTCTGAATTAGCGGGGCAGTCCCCTGAGTTGTGGACGGAGATGGCTCGTGTCCGATGACTGACGTGGTTTAAGTGGGGCTGGGCTAAATCTTGTTGTGCAGACTCTGTTTACAAGGCCGAGTTGTAGGAATGAAGCTGAGTGACTGGGCTGTCCAGTTTTAGGATCAATGCAGCTGTTGTTGCTGTGAGATGAAGCTGAAATGGAGGTCTACCTGTTATCCTTGATGAGTCAGGGGAAGCTAGTGGATGAGGTCATGTGTAACAGATTCCCTGGATAGGGAAAGTGTGGCATGATAGAAATAAGAGGAAAATGACAGAGAGGCTTAACTCAGCTTAAATGTAGAGAGAGAATATTATGCAGATACTATTTATGTTCACAGTCATCCGAAATTTGTAGTCTGCCTGCTCATTGACACCTTTATCTGTTTCTTTACTCACATGTTCATAAATCAACCAAGGTATTGTAAGCCATAAAAAAGCTATTAAAAAAAATCAAATCCCAATTTCTGTTTGGCCATTTTATTCTAAACACCTCTGTAACTCCACTGCTCTAGCATCGACCGGGGTATACTCCAGTAAGGTGCCATATTCAAGCCAGCCTATTTTAGACATGTTGTATTTCATAAGGTAACGGCCTGCCTGTCTGTTGAATGACACCCTCCGTACTTCAGCTATAACGCCCCTATAATGTAACCCTTGCACATGTTAGATCAGCAGTTAGAGGCTTGAGCTATTTTATTCAAAACAGGTTCAATATGATGAAGGATTTTTCTTCAATTTAAAACAAATAATATGAACTTGCTCAAGTTCTTTGTCTGGACGCAGAATTAAAACTAAGTAGATCACTCCAACCTGCTTTGGCTTTGATAATCAATGGATTTCAAAAACATTTCAGCAAAATATGTTTTACAGTGTACTGTTGGTATGAAAGAGAAGGAACTGCTGAGCAGTGTGGGTAGGTGATTTTGTGAGCACAGATACTGTATGTGAGAGCATTTTTTTACTGTCTACACTCATGTCCTGCCCAGAATAAAGTCTCACATGCCCCCCCCCCAGCAGAGCAGACTCACTGCCTGTTTGAGAGACTCTATGACTCTGTATGTTTGGTCTCAAAAACCACAGCAGAAAGGAAGCTCCACAGACAGGGAATCAGTGTAGCTGATGACACACATTTTCGTACAACCTCCTTTGGAAAAAAGGAAGAAAACCTGCAGAAGAGGAGATAAAGATTTCTGAGCAAAGACATAAAGAGAAGTGTCATTGTTTTAAAGATATTAAAGGTTTGTTTTAGACATTCCATAATGTAGTAATTGATGATTTTGGTCCATATTGTCGCCATTTTGAAATAAAAAATGACAGCTTGGGCTGTGGCCTGCATATAGACTGTATATACAATGGACAACTTGGTTCCACCTACCGCCTGTATACGGATTTGAAGCCAAATAGCTCTTGGTATTTCCAGGATTATACTTTATTTCCTGAAACCAGCGCTGCGCAGTAGCAATGCGCGCAATCGGCGGCGCAGTCGCAGAGAGTTGCTGTGATGACGCTCGGCTCAAACAGCGTATCCCCCGGGGGAGCTACGCAATCCCTGAACGCCCATAGGCTGTATCAGGTGTCAATCATAGCAAACATGAACCCCCTAATAACTTTTAAAAACGGAGCTTCAC